CCTTCACAGCTGCGGCTGCCAGAAAGAAGGAAACATGGTAAGGAGCTATCTGATGACTTCTAAATCTTCCCTGGTCACCTAATAAACCTGCCTTTTCAAAATCTATAACCTTGAATGTGAAGAAAAACTGGCTATTTGTGTAGCCATAAATGTCTCCTCACAATTGAACACTTCCCCGCCTTATATTAGGGTGGTATAAATTGCCACTGTTTGCTTCAGTTATTCTCACCCCGTAAGCTGCTCCATGAAGTGGTACAGGAAGTTCCTTTAACTCCGCAACCACAGTGGCCGAGGTCAGTGGTCTCATGGGGCGGGGCCTCATTTGTGATCATCTGACCTGGCAGACCAGACCTGAGGGTGAGGAATGGGACCACGGCAAGAGGCACGAAGGATCCCCACAGCAGGAATAAGGAGAGAGAGGCTCAGCTAGCTTGCACTTCTTTAGAACTGTTCACCTTCTTGGCTGGAGAAATAATAGACTTGAAGCAATTGAAAAACCTAGAACAATCTATCCTGATTAGCTGAATCTTGAAAAGAATGGGATTCAAATATTTTCTTTCACTGAAACCATGACATAGATATTATGGCCACCAAGCCTACTGATCCCTTCAAACACATACTCTAGGACGGGAGAGAGGGTGCGGAAATATTGAGCGAGTGAATACAGAACAATGGATAACAGTAAGGACCAAAGATTAAAAAAAAAGAGAATATCATATAATTCTTCACAGTGAACCTGAGCTAAAGAAAATGATATCAATCCTTTTTCAGTCAAAGACTGAGTATACTGGTAAATAAAATGATTTGGGGAAATACAGAGTCTGGCATAAATAACGCCCCCTTTTAATTACAAACTTTTATTACAAAATCAAAAGCATGTAATTCTGTAACATAACAATATCACACTCAAGTGCACCTTATGACATTCTGGGTGAAATGGTCACATTAAAACTATAAATTATTACACCCTTATTATTACCCCACCAACCACACTCAGGCAGGCGTTACTTCTGCTGGACCCTGTATAATTCACTTTAATGGGAATACGATATTCCAACTTCAGGGTAACTTACACATAATCAGCAAGTAGACGAGAGACAGTGGGGTTCAATGGGTCCTTTTAATCTGTAATAAACTAAGTATTAATACTATAATGAGAGTAGTGGCTGAACAGCTTTCCCCTTCTTGTGGGCCACACTGAAGAAGGTGGGTAACCGGGCTTAGCTACAGGGGGGCAGCCTCTATGCAGAGGGGTGAATGTGTCCTTCCTCTGCACATGGTCCTGGGAAAGCAGAGGACTTAGACACTTCAAGGGACAGGTGTATCTTATTTTGCTCTTCACACCTGAAAATCTGGAACCTTTCAGCTGCCTCTAAAGTTGGCAGCAGATAGGGTTAACTGGCTGTAAAATCGTGGAAAGGGTGTACCTGTAAGGAAAAAAACTCTTTCAGACCCTGAAGGTTCTTTGGCCCCTTGTAACAGGTTGTACCCAACCCACAGGCCCCTCGCGGAGGGAGGGCTGATGCAGGCCAGTGCTGGGGTTTAGAGTGCATCCATGGCTGCCGATGGCTTGTTTTCTGAACAAGTCCAAATCAGAGACAGATCAAGGGTAAGCTTAAATAGAGGACTTTCTAAACACAGGGTAAAACTCAAATTTTCTGATTAGAGAAATGAGAGCTAAGGCAAGATCGTGCTAATGAAAGATTCCAGGCAAAGACGTCAGGGCTGGCTGCCAGCTCTCAGACGGGGCTTGGCAGACAGACAGCGGAGCTCTGACAGGGAGTTTCTCTGTGCATTTAGAAGAAAGCAGAATAGATCTAAATGCAGCCAACCTATTGATTTATTCTCTTTGTACTGGACATGGCTTTTTATTAAAGAAAGCAGATATTCAATAGTGTTAACTAGTAATGGGAATTGACTTTTCACTAATTGCACAGACCTTGGCATTAATATACTTTAATGGAACCTGGGCTCAGTGTCCCTCAGATCAATCCTGAAGTTTTTCTCTAACTCTTTCTGGTCAAAGGACATGAACAACATTGTAACTGAGAGAGACCTTTTTAAATCTTTTTTTTTAAATTCATGGAATGAATAGGCTGAGGGACTTTCTTTATTCCAGAGGACCAAAGAGAGGAATAGTTGTGTGACCTGTAAAATACATAGAAACTCTGTGATCTGAACTGACTGTGGAGTTTGGTGTTGGCTGTTTAGAATTCAGTTATAAATGCTGGAAAAGAGTTTGGCTTCCCAGGCACCTGGCTGGTCCTGCCCCTGCTGGATTCTCAGAGGCAGAAGACTCATCACTTATTTATCATCCATTTGTTAGATTTATTAAAAGTAAATAGGATCCCTGACAGCTGCTGGGCTCCCATCTCACAGACCTGGAACCAGGAATGTGAGAATACATGCTGCTCTCACGAACCTCCAGCAGCATCTGATCTCAGGCAAAGGGGTGTGCAATCCCAGATCCTGCCAGGAGACAGGACAATCCCGAAGTTCCCAGAGTGGCAGATGTCCATCTTCAGTTCTTTAGGACTCATTGCTGGATTCTCCCTCTGGCCAACCAAGGCAAAGATGCTTCTAAGGCAATGATGCTTCAAACCCAAAGGACAAGTCTGGGGGCTTCTCGAGGAGGACATGTGCACCTTATTCATCTTTGGAGACAACAATGCCTGCAGTCAGAGTGGCAGACACCACTTAATTCCTGGATTTACCTCCTTCTAGCTATGTGGCATTAAGTACACCAGGCTCTTAGGGTCTCTAGGTCCTTATCTAAAAAATAAAAAATAAAAAAACACATCCTTTGCAGAGTTGTTGTGAGATTAAATAGGCTGCTGTATGTGAAGCTCTCAGCTCACTGAGGACACTTAGTAAACTCCAATGAACGATATAGTTAAGATGATCATCAACTTGGAATCTTTTGCACTTAGACACTGGGCATTTGGTGACTGTAAGTTCAGTGAATGGGTTCATTCTTTGATCCAACGATTTCTATGCCTACTATGTGCCAGGCACTGTTCTGCAATGCACAGACAGACACATCCCTGACCTCATGGAGTTTACATTTTGGTGGGGATACAGGTAGGAAGCAAGTAAATGAATAAATCAACTACCTGGAATGTAATTTAGGGTAGTGATAAATGCTGTGAAAGAAATTGAGCAAGACAAGGGGATAGAAAAGGACTGTGTGAGAGGGAGAGAGAGGGAGAGACAGACAGACAGACAGAGACAGAGACAGAGACAGTGAGAGGCTAGGAAGTGAAGGGATGCTGGGGACACAAGTTTCTCCAGGCACCTGCCATGCTTGTCTTAATTCCTCATATCCTATGTTAACTCAGCATTCTCTCTTTACCTGATGGATTTTTGTGCTATAGGGTTTCTCTCTACACCATGAGGTGAGATGCCGCCCATTGTCTAGGCCTCCTTATTCCTTTCCATTCTTGGCTTTGCATTTTTTTCTTAAAGTGCTCCCCACCCAAATCAGCACTTCCCCTCAAAAACGAACACTACGACCCAAAAGTTTTCCTACACCCTTTTTCACTTGAGAGAGTCAGGAAAATGCCTCTCTTTTCATACCTGACTTTCCTACTTCCAGGCTTGCCTTCCGGAAGTGGACAGCCACGGACTCAAGATGTCTCGAAGTTGAAGGGAGTCTTTGCTTTCTATTTGCCTCTGCAAAGAATTACACAATGAGACTGCCATATTGAATTACTTTCAGCAGTAGAAATTCTTCCGTTCCCCGTCCCAGGCCAGGCTCTAATTTGAAAGTAATAATATTTGGGCAAAGCTCAGATGCACTAAGTTGCTGCCGAAGGCTTGGTGGGTTTTGTGGTAATTGGTTTTACTCAGCTGCTGATGCTTCACTTGGACAAATGAGAAATCAAACTACAGCTCAGTTTGCAGAAAAGCCCACGTCAGCAGTTTAGTCTGACTACTATTTCAGAGCTTGTTATGTTATTGGCAATAAAATGCAACTAATATATTGTTAATTAATATTGCATCCTACAGCTACTTTATCACATTATTAATCAGAGTGATGAAGCCCAGGAAAATGCAGCTCACCTTTAGTGTCTTTTCATCTCTTTAAAACACTTGTATTTATGCACAAATAGATGTTTTGGTCAATACTGCCAAGTGTTTGGTTGTTCCTGGATGAGTGTATTCTATTTTCAAACAGTAACTTGCCCCTCAGGAATATTTTATTTAGCAAGACAGGACTTAAAGTGAAAGGGTAACCATTTCTGATCGTAACCTTGGCTTTGTGCTTCTAGTAATTATCCTTTAATTGCATTACCCTATTTGAAATAGAGTTGTAATTGGAAAAAAACAATTTGACATTCCCTGATGCTTACTCTGACATGCACTATTTGCTTTTTATTCAAATGTAAATTTTCTCCATAATACTATCAAAGAAAGAGAAAAAATTAAGCAAAATTGAAATGTCAGTAGCAATTTCTGACATGCAGGCGGTGTCATTCACTCGTGCTGTCTGGAAGGCAAGACTTTCAGCTCAGATGGAAAAAAAGTCCCAACTATGAAATTAGCATGCTCTGAAGAGAGAGGGAGAGATGGATGGCCGACTCTCAGATCGGTCCCTCTGGGATATGTGTCCTCTTTGCACAACGGTTTCAAAATATCAAACAAGCTGCCAGCTATAATTTTTGGATGAATAACCCTCTTTGCTTTACAATAAAAAAAAACACCAAACCTCTTTTTCCTTAAACACTGAAGGGTAATAAACTAAGCCCTACAGTTATTTCACCCTAGGCTTCTTGGAGGTGGATTTTAATTTGGGGCATGTGAGAGGTGACAGGCAGGCTCTGGAATGGCTCCGGTGATTGAGGTCTGAGGATAGTCACGCCCTTTTGCCTGCTCTTCCGGTAGGCTGTGGGCTGGGCCTCTTGACTTGCTTCTAATGAATAGGACGTGGCAAGAGTAATGGGATGCCCCTTCCAAGATCAGCTTACACACAAGATTTGGGGCTTGATCTTTGTGGGGCTTCTGAGTCCTGCTCTCTCAGGTGCTCCCTCTGAGGAAAGTCGTGTGGTGACTGGGGGAAGTCTCCAGCCAACAACCAGGGAGGAACCGAAGCCTCCCAACAGTTGAGAAGCAAGTCATCCCTCCGTTGAGCTTTCAGATGAGCCTGCAGCCCCAGCTGGCACCTGGCTGCCACCTCAGGACACATTTTTGAGTCGGAGGCACCCAGAGGAGTGGCGCCTGGACTCCTGACCCGCAGAAACAGTGAGTGAATGTGCTTGTTATTTTAAGCCATTAAGTTGCGAGTGAATTTCTTTTGTGGCAACAGATAAATAATACAGGGTGGGAAAGAGTGGTCGTTAAGGAAACAAAGAATGCTAGATAACGTTTGGCTCCTCACACAGGCTGGTAGGGAAAAACGGAAGGGTGGTGGGGGGGGGGAGGAAAACACCATCCACGCCCTGACCTCAGTGTGTTTCCTCAGATAAATCATATAACCTTTCTGTGCTTCCATTTTCTTATCGGAGATATAGTTTACTCTAGCAATGTTCATGAGTTGAAAATGAAATACCAAAGCACTCCGAAAAGCTTTCAAGTACCGCACATATGTGAAATGACGAGTATTAACATGTTTTTTCCCTTGGACACTCACTCCCTTGGTCCAGTGCTCTCTCTGACTCGCGATACAGTGGCGTGAGCACTATGCACCCGTAGACCTGGGTTCCAATCCAGGCTTTTCCACGGACTGGCTGTATGACCTTGAGAAAAGCCACACAAGCTCCATCAGTTTCCATTTCCTGATCTGATAACCCTTCGGTACACTGAAAGGGAGAAAAAAAGAATAAGTATGTTTTGATCTAAGAGAGCAGGCTAAAAGTGTACAGCAATAATATTTGGGAGTCTTTGTCAAAAGTGACAGAAATCTGACCTGAGACAGATTCTCTCGAGGATCTCCTTTGTTGATTTAAAAACACTGGTATTTAGTATTTGTTTGGCTCTTCCTAGGTTTCCAACAGAACGTAACTGTAATTTTCCTTCACCTCAGAGTCTACTGGTAAGGATGTCAGTGTGACCGGTGAGTGTTTTTGTTTCTTAAGAGCATGGCTAGCCAAGTGAACCAGGCACTGAGCAAAGGTTTAAGGCAATGATGTCTAGAGGCCAGGCGGGGCACGGCTGGCTGCCGGCACCTGATTCTGGTCTCTCGATTCTTCTGCTTGGCACACCTCCTAACACTTAGCCCAGAACAGGTGTCTTTATTTCAGGAGGTCTCTGCCATGCCCTTCAAGTCTGAATTTTGCAGCTATGACCTTAATGGTGTTACAGGACCAGGGCAAGCCCTTGCATGACCTTGAGAGTAGGTATCTCTTTAAGTTGTTCACCCTTCACACCTCACTTGCCTCACCTTACTCCTGGTTCTGTGTTATGTTATTTCCCTTGGTCCCATCGAACATAAGCAACTGCACTGCCCTGTTCCTTGCAGGCAGAGTAGAAAGCTGCCTAACCAGAGCTCTGAGGACCCTGTGAAGGTGCTCTTGCCCACACTACCTTCCTTACTCACCTTCACCAATATCCGGAGGTCTGAGAACTGGGTCACTTACTAAAGCAAGATGGTATTGGGAAGAGTATACGGGATCTGGAACGGAGAGATATAAGTTGAAATTCAGGTTTTGGAAGAAAAGAACTGAGGGAACTTAGAAAAGTCAATGAATTTTTCTGGGCCTAACTTTTCTGTAAAGTGAGGAAGAGACTAGCTGAATTGTCTTTTGGCATTTTTATGCAAATCAAGTGAAATACTGATTGAAAAATTATTTTGAAATTTGAAAAGCAGTAGGTAAGCACTTACTGTGATTATTAAGGTTTAATGCATTGTTCTCTATGTTAGCAGTGATGAGGTCATCTGTTTAGCCCTTAGCACACCGGAAAGAAGGCAAACACGTTGAGTAAGCTTAATTGACGAGCACAGGGTGAGAATGTGGGTATATGCCCCAGAGTGAAAGATATTCAACGCAAAATGGTTTAGGAAAAAGAAGAAGGAAATTTCTGCAAGGGTACCACACGTAACCTAAAGCAGAACGAGGGTAGAGTCAGTCCTCAGGGAGAATAGGAAAAGGCACTCAAATTTAGCCAGCATTTCACTTTTCTCCTGGGAGAGAATCCTTCTCTGCTATGTAGACATCTTCCTCCATATACTGGGACCCTCGCTGGTGGGGGTTCCCCATAGTCAAATCCTATAGCTCCCACCACTTGGAGGAGGCTGATCCTCTGCTTAATTTTGATCCTAAACCTTCCAGGGAAGGGTGCTGACTGGCTTGGACTAATCAAGGCCAGGGAGGCAGACCCTGCAGGGAGACACACAGCAACTGCCTTACCCAGAGGGGTGATAACACCTGGGAGCAGCCCCGCAGGTGCCCTGTGTAATGAGGCCCTGACTGGTGCCTGGGCTGTCACACAGAGTTGTGTAGGTTGTGCAGTGTGTTGTATGCAATAGCCCCACCTGCCTGGGGAGAAAACTGAATAACTGGCAGCCATGTGAAAGCACTTCATTTCCCAAGAAAATGCACCCTAAAAGGTGACAGCAAAAGATATCTTGGAAAGTCTTCGTCCTAATGAGAGGGGATGGGACAGGTTTCCACTAGGAGAGAGAAGACACCTCTGCCAGAGCAGCGCTTCTCAGCCCCGTGGCCAGAGCCCAGCAGTCTAGGACGGTGGGCTGGGAGGAGTGACGATTCCATTCTCTCATAGGCAGAAGCCCTTCTGCCTTTCATATGGATGGAATAGGAAGGAGAAACTCAATCCAGCCACTAATATGAGTGGGAGAAATGTAAAAACTACAAACTGGAGTTTCGCTCATCAGACTTGAAAGAAATGATTATCCTTCCCGATGGTGTTGGTGACCCCCTTCACATGGTCTGGCTTGCTAATGTAGGACTCTAGGGACCTTGCTTACCCACTGCCAGGGTGACTGCGGGCACTGACCCCACCCCACCTCTCCTGCTGCTGCGTTCATCTCCCTCAAGCCCACATGCTCTAATCCTCTCTCCTCTGCCTGCCACTCCTCCTCCGGGCACCCAAGCTCTCACACGATGGCCCCAATCTGCCTTCCCTGGTTCTTCTCCCTGTTCCTCTCTAGTCTACAAGTGTAGACCTCTGTCGTCACAAATATGTCGAGTCCCCAAGCCTGTGTGGGAGCTGTTTCCCCTGCCTGGAATGTGTTACCTTTTGAAACCTTCCCTGCTTGTCCTTTGAGACCTTTCCTGATTTGTCCAAGTAGATAGATCTTGTTCTCCTCTGCTCCACACCTCAAGGTTTGTACTCCCTCACAGCACTCCCCACACTGTCTTAAGTAACACTTGCACTTGTTATAGGGCATTCTTCCAGGCAAAAAGATCCTTGAAAGGAGGTGAAGAAAAATAGGGATTGTAAAAAATTATATTTCATACTATGTGCCACCACTGCTACATGTTACATAACCCTGACAACCATCCTTTTCACAGATGAAAAACTGAGGCACAGAGAGGTTTAGCAACTTGCCAAAGGTCACACAGCTAAGCCAGGATTTGGACCCAAGTAGTGTGCCTCCCTGAGTCTATGCTCCTGACAACTATTATACCACTTCTTGAGGAAGCAGAGGTGCATCTGGTGTGAACCCAACAAAGGCCTTTCAAATGCAGTGTACTGAATTGTTATTCATAATTTTGTATTCTTTTCTTTTAAGAGCCTCTCAAGATTGTACTAGCTCCAGGTTCTATAAGACTGGATGGAAATACAATGTCTTGCTCATCTTCGAGTCCTCTTAACCCTTGTGTAGTGATGATGATGATGATTCCAAGCCTTGTACCGAGCACTTACAAGGCATTGGCAGCCATCTTGCTGCATCCTTACAACGTGGAAGTCAGGCATGGTCATTGCCACTTTTATAGATGACAAAAATCACCTCCAAGGCACTGAGTGACTTTGCCCAAGGCTACTCAGCTAGTAGTGGAGCCTGAGCTAAAACTCAGGGTTTCTGATCCCATATGTCATGCTTCCCCCACTTGGGTGCTTGCTGCCTGTGGGTTCTGACAGCCTTTCCAGAGCCTAGTGGGTAGTGCTCCTCCCCACTCCCGCCCCCTGCGGGCCCCTCTGAAGGGCACTCCATCACATCCAGCAACCGTCTAAATTGAAGTTGTCCATCCTGCCTTTTAAGTTCTTCTCCAGATAATGAATCTTTTCAACCCTCGCAGGGTGCTTGATGTTAATCACACAAAGAGATGCAAACTCCATCTGTCACCTTTGAGTAGATACAGCCTAAGAGGTATAGGGATTATATAGGAATTGCATTTAACTTCCAAGTCCTAATCTTGATAATTTCTTAGGGGAAATTCCCTCAACTGTCTGTCTACAAGAGACTTTCAAATCCCTCAAGCAATTGCTAAGTGATCTTAGAACTAAAGTTGCCTGAATCTAGAGATTTTTGGTGAGTAGCCTACAATTTATTATTCTGTATTACCAAAAGCCTAAAGAATTATGTTATACAGAACTATCCTACTTTCACAGCTTGGAATATGGAGACATATTCCAAGACCAGAGGAGCCCTGGATTGTTAGTAATGTCTAAATAGTGACCCTGGAGAAATCACTATGCAGCCAGCCATTTCCAAAGACATGCCAACTCAAAGTGTCATGCAGGGAGCTACCTCTACCAACAGGCCCTGTCTTCTTTCCCAGACTTCAGCAGCCAGTGGGAAAGAGGCAAGTAAGCAGAGGCACCAGCTGAGAATTCAGTCTCTGGAGTTAGGCCAGCCTAGGTGTGACCCCAGCTCTACCTCTAACCAGCAGTGAGGTTTATGCATTTGCTTAGCTTCACTCACTGATTCAACACATATTTACTGAGCCAGCCAGCGTTGTAGGCACTGAGACAAAGGAGTGAACAAAACTATCTCCTGGCATTCCCAATTGTCTGCAACATGGAAATAATTGAAGCCGTGAGCTCACACGGCTGTTTAAGGCTAACGATTCAGCCTGGGACCTGGCTCAGACTTATATTATAAAGAAAAGTTCAACAATCTTTTACCTTGATTCTAGATTTAAAACAAAAGCAACATGGCAGGTTTGTTTGTTTATATTTATATTCGTCCAACCCTATTTTTTAGAAAATTTTTGATGAGGCCCAGGAAGCCTGATACACAGTTTCTGGTGCCTCGGGCCATGCAGGGAGGAGCCGTGGCAGGAGGAAGGGCACAGGAAGGTGAAGTGCATTTGGTAAATCTGACCATGGTCAGATTCTGTTGGGGTGGCTTTTGCACTGATATTCACAGGAGCTCTTCATTTCCAGCTTTATTCTGAAGGCACTCAGCTGATACTATTTTACCTCAGGAGTTTCTGTCTGCCTAGAACACTATTATAAGCTTTTAAATGAAGCATTTAGCCTAAACCTCTCATGATGCGGCTCTCAGGACCTCCAGGCCTCCGTGGTCAGAGGTGGGTTGGATGGCTCCACCGAGAGAGCCTCACTCCTGTGAGGGTCTGGACACTGCGCTCTCCCTGCGTCCCTGTGACGCATGGGGACCCAAAGTCTGTGTGCTGGTCCACTCCTCCTCGGAACACAGCCGCAGGCAGAGCGCCACTCTGAGAACCACATGGGCTGTCCTTTGTCCCACTCCCAAAGAATCGCACTTTCCCGCGTTTGTCTTTTTATCATCGGGGATCCATTTCCCAGTAGGGTCTGATGTCCATTTCCTTCCTCCAAAATTTTGAGATGAAACAATCAGCATAGTCGGGGATGAAATTAGGTAATTAAGTCATTTATTCTGCTGTTTAATAATTATTAGAGTTGAGTGAACGCTTCCTCTGTTCCAAGCCCTGCACTGAACAAAGTTTTACAAACATCATCTCACTCAATCGTCATGACAGCTGCATGAAGGCCCCTCTCCCCCATGAAGTTACTCTCGTTTTAAGGCAGCAAAAACGGAGGGTATGAACTGTCAAGAGAGTTGCCCGAGGTTGCCCTTCAACCACGGAGCTATATGTTACATCCTCTAGGTGACCAGAAATGGTTACAAATCGTTAACATCACAACTCCCACCACCTTTTTGTAGTGCTACGCAGTCAGGGTTATAGGAACAAGAGCATTCAGTATAGGAGATTTGAAAATTGTACAACGCTAGAAAAAATGTAAAATGACATGAAATCAAAGATAAATTCGCTCAACATCATGGTACATCTCTCACTCTGCTTTTCCAGTTTATTTTGCTTTTTGAAAAAATTGAAATTGTCCTATTTATCTTTAAAAAATTTTAACATTATATCAAAATATTGCCCCTGGTCATTAAAAATTCTCCAAAAACCTTATTTGGTTACATTATATTGATAAATATTATACCATTTAGTTGTTCAACTGTTTTTCTCTTGCTGGAAAATTAGTTCACAAATTTTTGGTCATGTGACAAACATACCTATACAAAACTTCTATTTTTAAGCCCCAATGGCAGCCATGTTTGTCATCTAGAGGTGACTTCCCTCTGGACAGCTGTGTCATCATTTACATTATCTGGTTGTTGGGTCATGAGGACCTCCATCGAGAGTGTCCAGACCAAAGGCTGAGGAGCGACAGAGTGACAGGATGGGTGGTTACCCTCGTGGTGCTGTTCCGGGCTCAGACTGGTGGGGATCTCCCGGAGGAGGCGGGGGTGAGCGGAAGGGAGAGACCAATGAGAGTCTTGTCTGAGAGGCGTGTCTTGTCTGTCCTGCACCTCTGAGAGCTCGCTGCTGGCCACCGCAGAGCCACTGCGCGGTGCCCCTGGACGTGTTGCCTTGACCTCTATGGCTGTGGCCCACCGCGCTGCAGGCTGCGGACACCGCGCTCCTGCGGCCCCAGGCCTTTGCCCTGCTTCTGTAGCTGGCTTCCTGCCCACCGAGAAAACAGAGGACAGTGAACACAACACTTCCTTTTATTTCCACTTTTCTGCCTTCAGCCCCAAAACCTTATTCTTAATTGGTCCAACTCACTTTCCCCCTTTGAAGAAGAAAGGAGGGACCTGACTTTTTTTTTTTTTTTAATCAAGGAAGGAAAGGAAAAGAAAGAAGGTAGAAACACATCTGTTAGACTCCAATACCAGTTTTATCTCGGGCTTCATGGTTTCTTTTCACATTTTAAAATATTCCAGTTAAGAAAATTGACTAACTGTGTAATATGTGCCAAGCACTGTGTTTTATGCAGCATAGTAGAAATGACCAAGGCTCACCTTGAGGGCAAATCTCATATAATTTTGCTCAGATGGACTGCTTATTCAGAAATTTAGAATATTTCCGTTTATTGAGCACGTGTCTGAATCAGGCTCTCAACCTGGCACATTTAATCCTCACAATATCTCTACCATGGAGGTACTCCCGTTCACGTTTTACATGCAAGGAAACTGAGGCTTCTAGAAACCACGTAACTTGTCTGAGGTCGCAGAGCTTAAGAAGTAGTAGGAACAGCCTTCAAACTCCTATTTGTCTAACACCAAAGACCATGCGCTCTGCTCTGGATTGTAAATAATTATAATTGAAGTATTGACTGATTCTGGAATATTTCCACTACAATCTGCACTTCAATAGAATACTTGATTTCCAGTTGAAAGAACAACTTACATAAAACAGAGGTGGTTGAGAAAGAAATTTTTTTTCTTCTCCACATAAAGAAACATTTTCTTCCTAAAGCACTTAAGCAAATAGCACTCTTAATACCTTAAGAAATTTGCTTTCTAATTGGTTCTTTTCTCCAAAGCAGGTCAGAGTCGCTTCATTGGAAGTTTGTAGTGAAACATCGCCCTCTTCTGGACATTTGGGCATCATACAATGAAGATGGACAAAGTATTTTTGAAAGAGCTAAAGTACAATTGTGCTGAATGACAATGAACAGCTGTTGTTATCACTTATCATATGTATGCTTTACTACTCAAAGTGACTCCTCACAATGGAATAAGAAAAACATTTTGGAACTTGCAGAGCAGTAATTTTCCATTTTTATGAAGGTGGCTGAGTGCTGGGTACAGGAGTAGATAAAAGTTTTAACTATTAGGAAATGTCTTAACTATCCTATAATAATACCTAACTATAATAATACTATATAAATAAACTATAATAATAATAATACCTAAACCATCAGAATCAAATAGCTCCAATGAGCCCTGAGTAGGAAGAACATCATATGTATAAGATAATTGGAGAAAGAACACAATGAATAGAGATTGGCACTGATTTTTTTGTTGCTGTTGTTTTTTCCTAGACACTGAAAACTTTTAATTATCTCACACAACAAAGTCCAGAGATGGGTGATTTCCAGCTTGATGCAGCAGCTCAGTGATATCACATCGTCAAGTATTCAGGGGGTTTCTATGTTTCTATACAGCCACCTTCACACATTAGCTTTTCATCTTTATTTATTTTTACTTTATATCATTACTTCTTAAAAATAAGTTTTATTGATTATGCTATTACAGTTGTCCCAATTTTCCCCTCTTTGTCTTCCTTCACCCAGTACCCCTCATTACATTTGGCAGTCACCCGTGTTTAGCTCATGTCCATGGGTCATGCATGTAAGTTCTTTGGCTTCTCCATTTCCTATACTGTTCTTAACCTCCCCCTGCCTATTCTGTACCTACTAATTTGTACTTGTTACCCCCTGCACCTTGTCCCCTATTCTCTTCCTTCCCCCTCCCAAATGGTAACCATGCAAATGCTATTTATAATTCTGTTTCTGTTCTGCTTGTTTGCTTAGTTTGCTTTTTTTGGATTCAGTTGTTGATAGTTGTGAATTTATTGCCATTTTAATGTTCACAGTTTTCTTCTTCTTTTTATTAAATAAGTCCCTTTAACATTTCACGTAATAATGGCTTGGTGATGATGAATTCCTTTAGGTTTACCTTGCCTGGGAAGCACTTTCTCTGCCTTTCCATTCTAAATGATAGCTTTGCTGGACAGAGTAATTTAGGTTGTAGGTCCTCGCTTTTCATCACTTTGAATACTTCTTGCCAGTCCCTTCTAGTGTGCAGTGTCTTTTGAGAAATCAGCTGACAGTCTTATGACAACTCCTTCATAGTTAACTCTCTGCTCTTCTCTTGCTTCTTTTAAGATTCTCTTTCTACCTTTAACCTTAGGCATTTTAATAATGATGTGTCTTGGTGTGGTCTTCTTTGTGTCCATCTTGTTTGGGATTCTTTGTGTTTTCTGGACTTGCATGTCTATTTCCTTAACCAAAACAGGGGAATTTTCTTTCATTATTTTTTCAAATAAGTTTTTGATTTCTTGCTCTTCCTCTTCTTCCAGCACCCTTATGATTCAAATGTTGGTACGTTTGAAGTTGTCCCAGAGGCTCCTTACTGTATCCTTGTTTTTTGGGATTCTGTTTTCTTCTTGTTGTTCTGATTGAATGTTTTTTCCTTCCTTATGTTCCGATCATTGATCTGATTCTTGGCTTCAACCACTCTACTGCTGACTCCCTGTAAATTTTTCTTTATTTCACTTAATGTAACCTTCATTTCTGCCTAGGTCTTTTTTATGCTGTTGCAGTACCCAGTGAGTTCCTTGAGCATCCTAATAACCATTGTTTTGGACTTTACATCTGATAGATTGCTTATCTCCATTTTGCTGAGTTCTTTTTCTGGAGTGTTTATGTGTTCTTTCATTTGGGACATGTGTCTTTGTCTCCTCATTTTGGCAGCCTCCCTGTGTTTGTTTCTAGGTAGAGCTGCTTTGACACCCCCCACCCCCAGCCTCCATAGCATGGTCTAATTGTAGACAAGCACACCCATAAGTTGGATGGGGTGGAGCCTTAGGTAATCACTAGGGCAAGACAACCCCTGTAAACTAAACTGATGGAATGTCAGCTATGTGGCTCTGTGGAGGGGGAGGGCTCAGAAAAGGGAGAATGGCCACTGCCAGAGGTGTTTTGTTCAGGAGGAAGCTGTTCCCTAGTATTTCACCTGATGCCAGACACTTCAGTTTCTCCCCATATTCCACTGGTGTCCTTGAAAGCTGCTGCCCTGGTGCTGGAGTCCAGAGGGAGTGAGTCTGAGTAAGTCCTAAGCCTGTCACAGGCCCTTTAAAATGAGACACCTGAGAATCCTGCAGTTTCTTCCACCACCCCAACCCCCACTGGTTTTAAAGACAGCAGTTATGGGGACTTACCTTTCTGGCACCAAAACCCTGGGCTGGATGGTCTGCTGTGGAGCCCAGATCCCTTGCTCCTGAGGTATCCCTCCTGGTTTTTATCCACCACAGGCATGCATGGGACCAGCCCATTCTGTATCTCCATGTCTCTGTATCACTGTGTCTTCACACTTCCTACCTGTTTGAATGAATGTGATTTCTTTAATTCCTTGGTTCTTGGACTTCCATGCAGCTCGATTGTCTGACAGTTCTGAATGATAGTTGTTTTGTAGTTTAGTTGTAATATTTGCTGTGGTTGTGTGAAGAGGCAAGCTGTATTTACATTGTCTCCATCTTGACCAGAAGTCAAGCATTGACTTACATTGATACTGTAAGCCTCTTTATTATTAATTATTAATTAGACATGTCTTAATTTTAATTATAGAGTCTTTGCTGCCTTTTACTCAGCATTTGTGCTTGGGAGTCAGTAGACCTCATTTGACTTCCTTCTCTTTAATTTATAAGCTATATGACCTTAGTCAAGTTATTAAATTCTTTGAGTCTCAGTTTCTTGCTCTGTTAAATCATAATAATAAAAGTAGCAGCTAAAGTGAAGTAAGCCAGACTGAGAAAGACAAATACTGCATGATATTACTCATATGTGGAATTAAACAAAACAGTGAAATTCGTAGAAGCAATGAGTGGGAAAGTGGTTTTCAAGGGCTGGTGGTTGGGGGAAATAGAGAGAGGCTGGTAAAGTGTACAGATTTTCAGCTATAAGATAAATAAGTTCTTCAGATCTAATGTCAAACCTGGTGGTTACAGTTGATAACACTGTATGGTAAAACTGAATAGAAAAGTAAGAGCTAAGTAGGATGCAGTAGAGTAGACCTAATAGATTTTGCTACCTATGAAAGTGCAATGAGATAACACCTAATGATAGTTGTTTTGTAGTTAATTGTAATATTTACTGTGGTTGTGTGAGGAGGCGAGCTGTATTTACTGCAGTGTGTTACCTTTGTTTGGTAACACACAAAGTTAACAAAGGTAACACACTGCGAAGAGTTAAACTCAGTACATGTGGCTGGTATTGTATTATTAGATTGTCCCAATTATTAATTGAATAAATCAGCTCATTTAAGTTTTAAAGCATAAAAGTCAACAAGGTAGAAATACAAAAATAATTTCTTTTCCTGAAGTCTCTTTATTTTTACAGAAGTTTTGGCTAACAGCAAAGGTTTAGCAAACCAAATATTTCCTTAAATTATCTACGTTTTATAGGCATCTGCTTTTTCAAGGAAAGCAATGATATCCATATAAACATGTTTGGCACAGAAACCTTAGAAATAGATGAACCTATGAAATTCATGGCATGGATAATGTATCCTTTCTTTTATATAATTTTAAAATGGAAAAAAGGTTTAAAAATACACCAATATAATAGAACACCAAAAAAGATGAAAATATCTAAATACCCCTCTCACAAGTAAGAATTACAGCTTTCTAAAATAATATCAAGTCCCAGAAAGTCACCGTACATTTAATTTTTTGGCCCTGCTGTCACTTGAAGCGGCACACAGGGAATGTCGCCCTGTGTTGAGTCCCCTTCCTTCTGGAGAGAACCACATCTCCATGAGTGAGCCTCCCTTCCCTCACCTGACGTGTCTTGCAAGGGCAGAGGGAAGAAGAGCCAGAGCTGTTCATGCTTAAATTTAACTTTCCTACTGATGTATTATAAATCACAAATTTGAGGCAATTATATACCTTTAATTGCCTGACAAGTCAATTAATTCAGGCTTAGCTATTAAAAATTTCTGATCACTTCACCCACAACTGGATTCCAGCTATGACACATAGAATCACAGAGTGAATGCTTCGAGTACTCTATTTTCAAACACTCTAAGTGCTTTGAAAGCAAGTAATACCAACCAAAATACCAAACATTGATCCTGTAAGCCTCTTTATTATTAATTATTAATTAGACATCTCATATTTTTAATTATAGAATCTCAGACCCTCCCTAGTGGTGAATTGCCCCAGCCCATGCTACATCTCCATGAGTGACAAGATTCTGCAAGGATCTGAGGGAGTAAAGAAGTGACTATAGGTCACAGCTGCTTGCTCCCCATTCCTTGGAATACACAGGAGTCCCCTCCCACCACTCTGGGGCATACATTTCAAGACCCCCAGCAGCTGCCTGAAACTGGATAATTTCAAGCATACATACTATGTTTTTTCCTGTATACAACATACCTATGAGAAAGTTTAACGCCCTTTCCATCTTGACTCAACACTTAAGTTGCATTGTGACTATAACTTTTGCAGTTTGACGTATGACAGCAAAAGTAGCACAAATTTTCCTTTTTCAAAATTTCATGGATAGATTCATTCTTATCCTAGGTCTTAGCAACCTCTGCATATGATTCTTTGTCTTTCCTTGTAAGCTGAAAACTTTCATCTTTTTCACCTAAGGATGTACTTTATGGCTTCTCTTTGGCATATCTGAATTTCCAGCATCACTACTTTCATACAGTGGGCCCATTACTAAGTGGTGTAAGGGTGACTTGAACACAAGCACTGCGATACCACAACAGCTGGTGTGATAACCCAGACAGCTACTATGTGACTGACGGGCAGGGAGCCTGTGTAATGTGGAGACACTGGACAATTCATGTCCTGGGCGGGAAGGAGTGGCCTGAGAGATTTCATCACGGCTACTCAGAATGGCATGCAATTTAAAACATGTATTATTTATTTCTGAAACGTTCCATTAAATATATTTGGACTGCACCTGACCTCCAATAATAACAGAGATTGAAGAAAGTGAAGCTGTGGATAAGGGGGGACATTATTGTATATAAGATCCAAGGGCATGAGTTTTAAACAGGTCATTTTACTTTTGCACTTTGGTGGTTTTTATCCTCATACGAATAGAGCTACTCTCCATCTGGTCACTGCCTGCAATCATGGGAAAGAAGAGAAAATGATTGGCTTATGTGACTGAAAAGTCCAGGGTTGACTTCAGACACAGCTACATCCAGGCACTCCAATCCTGTCTGCTCGGACTTTGGCTTCTGCTTTCACCTATGTTTTCATTCT